ATTTCTGAACGTCCATCTTTGTTGACACTACCAGCACCAACTACCAATGGAGCGAAATCGAAATCTACACCGTAACTTCCTCGATTTTCAAATGTTCTGTTCCCACTTCCCAGAAACGTAACAAGTTTTTTAGTACCATAATTGGCCACAGCTATATCTACTTGACCGTCTTTATTGAAATCATGGATAGCCATTGAGTAAGGATGAGAATTTAAGCCTGTTGAAAACATCATTTGATTTCCAAAAGTGCCAATCCCAGATCCAAGAAGAACACCTATGTTATTAGTACCATAGTTGGCAACGGCGATATCTAGTAGGCTATCATTATTGAAATCAAAAACAGCAAAGCTTTGTAAACGAGAACCATTGGCAGATGCAAATGTGATTTTGTCTTTCAGAGCTCCTCTATCATACCGAAGTAGTACACTTACATGGCCGTAATGGAAATTAGCAACGACGATATCCGGTCGACTGTCGTTATTAAAATCACCAACAGCTGCAGAGATTGCTGCAGAGCCAGTTGGATATGTCGTTTGATCTGCAAAAGAGCCATTGCCATATCCGAGAAGAACACTTACAGTATTGCCACCAAAATTAGCAGTGACGATATCCAGTCGGGTATCATTGTTAAAATCATCAAGAGCTACAGACCATGGTTTGGAGCCAGTTGGATATGTCGTTTTATTTGCAAAAGAGCCATTTCCATATCCTAGAAGTACACTTACAGTGTTGTCATTCGCATTGGCGACGACGATATCCAGATGGATGTCGTTGTTAAAATCACCAACAGCTACAGAGTATGGTGAGGAGCCAGTTGAATATGTCTTTTGATTTGCAAATGAGCCATTGCCATATCCAAGAAGTACACTTACAGTGTTGTCACCCTCATTAGCAACGACGATATCCAGTCGAGTGTCGCGGTTAAAATCACCAACAGCTACAGAGAGTGGTAAAGAGCCAGTTGAATATGTCTTTTGATTTGCAAATGAGCCATCACGATATCCAAGAAGGATACTTACAGTTTTGTCACCCGCATTAGCAACGACGATATCCAGATGGATGTCATTGTTAAAATCACCTACAGCTACACAATATGGGAAAGAGCCAGTTGAATATGTCGTTTGATTTGCAAAAGAGCCATTGCCATATCCTAGAAGTACACTTACAGTGAAGCCAAACTCATTAACGACGACGATATCTAGTTGAGTGTCGTTATTAAAATCACCAACAGCTACAGATAATGGCCAAGAATCAGTTGAATA